GAAGAAAAATGTGTACGTACAGCTGCCCTAGGAGATAAGAAGAGTAGAACTACACTTGCTGCAGCTCTTAACGAACTCTCGAATCCCGCACCAAATGGTTCGTACACTAAAGACGCACATACATTTCTTTCGTTAAACGTCTGGCTTATGAAATCCTATCCGGCATATTTTAAGATGTCGACCCCGAAGAATTTGGAGAAACATTTCGCACTTATGACTTCGATCGAAGTGACGGTGAGGAGGAAAATAAGAGATTGGATGATTCTTTAGCGAGGGATCACTATGTACAAGTGGAGTAAGGATATTTCCGTTTGAAAATTAGGGTCTAAAATTTGCAATAAGTAATGATATATCACTGGTTTAGCAAGAGTTCACTTCGACAATTCATCTTGGACGATCCAAAGTATGTTGGAAGACGTAGCGATCGGAAAGCGATTTTTGGGGATGAGGTGGAAATTTCGCAAAGCGACGATGAGAGTGTAACCACAGAAGAAAAGGATCAGACAAAAAGTAATGAAGATGAAGATATGAATGAGGATAGTTTTTCAAACGCAACCGAAGATGTGTTTGACGATGAGAATAAGGACGAGGAATCTGAATTTGACCAAGAAGATGACGTATCGTTAAAAAATACTTCATCCGTTGTGGACGAGCTAAGAAAAATAGAAGAAGATGAACGGTATAAAAATATGCACACTTATGATGTGTTGCATAAGAACGTGTTCTAAAAAAAAAAAAACCAAATGTTTCTAGGCGTTTGCTTAAAAAAATCTCGCGAAGTGCAAAAGAAGACATTACCAAAGGACATCACGTCAAGACTCAAATTGTGAGTTATTAAATTAATTTTTATCGATAGGATTGATTCAATAACTCTAATATTATCTTTGTTTTAGGGTTTGTGGGATACTTTTCTGGATACACGAATTCGCATACAGAGAGCTGTTTCCATAGCAAATATGTTTCCACAAGTACTGATGATGAATCATTATTTTACTTTAAATCTCATGTAATGGATGGATGAATATTAAAGTTTCGTTTTTATGTGTGTGTGTGCGTATTTTGTTTTAGCCCGACATGCATTCACATTATCTCACAAAAGAGACCGAACCATTAATCAGGGAGACGCAAGATGAGTTAAGGGATCTCATTGATTCACTTATAGATTTAAGAAAAGTGAGCAATATTCTATGCGATTCTATGTGATCCCATGCGCTTAAACACGATTCTTTACGATTAGGATTTGTGCCGTGAAAATGAAATTATCGAGGTTGCCGATGATGCGATAAATAACCGTAAGCGTCACCGAGAGGATGATGATTACATAGAACACTTATGGAAGGACATGAAAGGAATCCATGATGCTTTCTTACCTTACCGCACTCAGACGATTGAAAAATGGAATAATAAAGTTCAAATTGCTTCGGGAATACCGCTTAACAAGAAATTCAAAGCTATTAATCAGGGCGCCAACGTTCAGATTGGACAAGCATTGAATGACCGGGAAAGGCTAATCAAGAGGACACAATTGAAAAGAAATTCCGATAAAATATTAGGAAAAGTATGTGTTATGACGTCTTTGCATTTTTCATCTTTGTCATTAATCATATCGAGTATAGGCGAGAAGTGAGTTGCGAGATGACGTCGGTGATCAAAAGAAACATGATGAACATTTGGTTAACTACGATGTAGAAATATTTGATGACGCTGACTTTTATCAACAATTGTTACGTGAATTAATAGAAAGTCGGATGGTCGATACAGGTAATCTCCGGGTCATTCAATTTTATTAACGTTTGTGTATACCATATTTAACGCATCACTATGAACAGATGATCCAGTTGCATCTTCCTTACGCTGGGCGGCACTAAAGCAAACGAAGCAGAAGAAGAAAAAAGTGGACACAAAAGCCAGCAAAGGCCGTCGGACGAGGTAGTATTGACGGTAGTGGTACTCGTTTTTGTAAAATAAATTGTTTCACTTATTCTATTTAATTTTAGATATCATGTACAAGAAAAGTTACAAAACTTTATGGTCCCAATACCTGCTGGAACATGGCACGATGATATGATCGATGAATTATATACATCTTTATTGGGAAAAAATTTCGATATAAATGATAACGAGGAAGCCCAGACTGAACAAAATGAACACAACAACATAGAAGCCGAATTAGACGGACTAAAAATTTTTGGATAATTTGTAATTTTTCGTAGCAAAAATAATTTTATAAATTTTTTCAGTGCAAGAAAAAAATTTTTTTTTTCATCATGAAGAAAAAAACCATTGAACGTCGTTTTCCATTCTTATTTCATAAAAGTGACAGTGTGTTATTTAAGCAATATTTGTCATAATTAATATATTTATCATTCAAGTTTATTGCTATTTCTTTTTTTAAAAATCTTTCAAAAGATATGAAATTTTAAATATATTTTTTTTTTATAAATATTTAAATTCAATACGGCGCGCGCTATAATTTTGTGAATACATCTCGCGTTTGTTTTTAAAATAAAATCGATCTCTCGAGGAAAGACATGAGGATATCATATGCACACCTATGCATTTATTTTCCTAAAAGAATTAAAAAATTGACTTTTAAATAGAAATTATCTTTAAAATAAAATTATGGGTAATACTAACAATGCCGTTACAAGTTAACTTCTACACGTGCGTAATTTAAAGGATTCCCACGATTCTTGCCATTTCGAGTAGAAAATCATGGTTTATAAAGGTTGGCATTCCGATCAACATCCAAGCTGCCGAAAGTAATGTCTCAACAAGTCACCATCTCGCCCGTCGATAATAAACCTTTCGTTACGATTCCCTTAGCCACCAGTGAACAAGTCGAAGAAGTAATAAAACGCTCAAAAGATGCATTTTTGTCATGGAAAAAAGTGCCCGTTAAAGAACGCGCGATAATTGTGTCAAAGTTTGTGGACGCGTTTGTTGCAAAGAGAGAGGAGATTGCAAAAGAGTTGACAATGCAAATGGGAAGGTTCGTCATGTGGAAGGGAATCAATCGTTCTAAATATTTTGAGGCTGATAAATCGGCTCTTTCACTTATTAATAAAAGGCCCATCAGATATACCGGCAATGAAGTCATTGGCACAGCTGAAAGGGCTCGATACATGATATCTATTGCAGAAGAAAGTCTTAAAGACGTGGAGATCGTGGATTCTGACAAACCGGAGTTTAGAAGGTTCATTCGGAAAGAGCCATTGGGTAGATTTTCCATGGTTATACTAAATTCATAATGGCGCAATTCTAATTCTTTTTCTGAAAAATTCAGGACCGATTCTTATCATTGCAGGTGACAGAACTATAAGGAACATTAAATTGTGAACTCTTGAGCATTTGAGACAGCAATACTTACGACTTTATTTATTTATTTATTTATTTATTTTTTAGCTTGGAATTATCCTTATTTGATCTCAATCAACGGCTTGATTCCCGCGATTCTTGCAGGTAACTTTGAAGATGAGTTCTGCAAATCGTTCGGGTAAAAATATTTACTCCATACACGATGAATTTAGGAAATTCTGTTATTTTAAAGCAATCATCACAAACACCTCTTTGCGCCGAAAGATTTGCGGAAGCATTTAAAGAAGCGGGATTACCTGAAAACGTTTTTCAGGTATGTGTTGTGTCTTATGATAGTATTCATGCAAAGTAATTTGGGACGCATTTATTGACGCTGTTATGAACGTAGGTCTTGCACGCTTCACACAGTGAAACCGAAAAGGTCGTCAGACATCCGGATATTGCATTCGTAAATTTTACTGGATCTGTCGAAGGTGGCAGAGAGATTCAGAAAGCCGCTAGTTCCAAATTCATGGGCATGTTTATTCTAGACTGATTTTATTTCTAACTGATTAACTAGTTGACAAAAGCTAAAATCAAATGCAATTTATTGCTATGATTACAGCTACTGGACTTGAACTAGGTGGTAAAGATCCTGCCTATGTCAGACCTGATGCCGATCTGGACTACACCGTAGAACAACTAGTGGATGGTTCTTTCTTTAATAGCGGCCAGTGCTGCTGTGCCATCGAGAGAATCTATGTTCATGAGCAGGTTTATGAAAATTTTTTAAAAAATTTTGTGGACCTGACCAAGGTATATTTATTTGTTTATACTTTTCAATTTTCAATTTCTAAAGAATCCAGTATTCAGTTTCACAAAACCTCATTAGGGATATAAATTAGGCAATCCGCTTCAACCTGATGTAACGCTTGGCCCGATGGTTCGCACAAAAGCCGCAGAATTTGTTCGCGGTCAAATCGAAGAAGCGGGTTGGTTTTTGTAATGCACCAATGCTCGCAATAATTGTCTCGTAATAATTTTTTGCCATTTTACAGTTAAGCAAGGAGCCAAGCCTTTGATTGATGTCGCGCTATTTCCGGAAGATAAGGTGTTGTCAACTCATTATTCTTCTCCTCATATACACTGTATAAAAATATTTGTTATGTATTCTTTATTAATCAATTATTGTCACCTTCTATTCAGAAAAATACACCCTACTTGGGTCCTCAAGTTCTTATCAATGTAAACCACACAATGAGAGTGATGTATGAGGAAAGCTTTGGTCCCGTCATTGGAATCATGAAGGCAAGGAGAATATCCTCAACATCAAATCAAACAAAATTTTACGATAATTTCATGCGGACACAATCGTTTTTGCACAGGTATCTTCGGACGAAGAAGCTATTCGTTTAATGAACGATTCTGAATTTGGGTTGACTGCAAGTATTTGGACCAAGGATGAAGATGCGGCATTGAGAATTGGAAACGAGATCGACACCGGAACTTGGTTTATGAATAGATGTGATTGTAAGAAAAAAAATTGCTACACGTCAATTGGTAAACATTAATTGGTTAATTGGTTTTGGTACTCAAGTATATTATGCCTTTTTTAAAATGATAGATCTCGACCCAGCGTTGGCTTGGGTCGGTGTAAAGAATTCTGGTAGAGGATGTACCTTGGTAAGCATTTTCCTTGGAAAAATTTCCTTTTTTGATTATTATTTTTTTTTTTCTTCTGAAGATAAATTAACACATATCTATGATAGTCCAAGTTCGGATTTGATTATCTTACCAGGTATTTACCAATTATTTCCCAAGCATCATACAACTTTGACAAAGATATGTCACCTAACAAATTATTTTATCAATTTAGACCAAAATCCTTTCATTTAAAATTAATAAGCAAATGACAAACATTAGTTTAATAAATTGGGTATATTTAAAGATAAGTTCTCTAGTGTACTTCAATTAAGATAGTCTGGTGTAGTTCTGATGACATTAAGTGTTATGCGATCGTATTCGGGTTCGATGTGAAGTCGCAAACTAAAGTTGAAAATCTTTACCACTTTCTACCTATTGGTCAGCTTATCATTAGACTTGTTTTGACACATGAATTTTTTGGTTTATATTAAACATGATTGAGAACCTGTTCGAAAAAAGTTTTGTAATACATACTGTATATTGATGCAATGGTTTCGTCAAGTATTCAGTTTGGATAATATTAACGGTGCTCGAAAACTATTTCATGAATGTTTCTTACTCGTTATGCAGTGTCATAAGTAATTTAAGTGAAAAGAAGTCAAATGTATTACTCTTTCGACCACCGTCAATCTAGTTTATCGCGTAAGAATGAATGATGTTTTTAGTAAGACAATGTCTATATTATTTATTCGTTTATATAAATTTTTATTATTCTTGAAAGATATGTCCACTCATTTACCTTCCTATTTAAAAAGATTCGACCATATTCAACAGTCGATTCACTTGACCTGTTAAAATATCTTATGCTTTGAATCACATAATGCTAAAAGGACTTTCCCCATTTGATCTTTTTTGAGACGATGATATAACAAGGCGGGATACCCTTTTTTTTGTTTTTTCTCTTTCATTTCAAACAGTATGGCCATAATCGTAATTGTCACCTTTATGTCAATACCGGAACCAGGAATTCTCAATGTTCTTTATTGAGTTAATCGAGTAACTGGTTAAAATATTTAAATGCAATACAAGTGACATCCTTAACCAAATCCATTATCAATCACAGTAGGCGCCATCTACATTTCATTTTAGCAAAATAGATTTTTCCGGGACTAGATGTAACGATATACCGCACGCGGTTTGCAATAAATTTTACGCGAATATTCATATTAGCAAGAGCGAAACCAGTGGTTTTGTAGGCAATCGGTTTTATTATAAGGTTTCGTGTGTAATTTTGGGTATAGTGATAGGTGCATTCGTAATTTCAATGTCTAATTAACTCTTCTACTTATGTAACGTGGAGAATGTAAACAATTAGTTTGCAAAAATGTGACTTTGTAATGATTCCTTTTTCTGGTATGAGCAAAAGAAAACACCGCAAGCTGAAAACAATATGATACATAAAGCAAAAAAAATCAACCAATTAGTTAAACATATATGGCATTAACGTCGTAGTGCTTCAGTGCTTCGATGGCCTTGGATTGATTCTTTAAAGCAGCCAATCTTAAATATTGCAATCCTTTCTTTTCATCCTTTTCGACCCCAAGTCTTCCCTTTAAATACATGTCGGCCATATTATATTGGGCAGTGGCATTTCCGTTGTCTGCAGCCTTGATCAGGTATTTTATGAAATCCTGAAGGTTTTCATTCGATACGGCAAACGCATAACGAAGCTGTGCGTCGGAAACGCCGGCATCGGCGGCTTCTTTAAATAACACCTTTGCTCTATCTTTATCTTGAGGTTTATGATAGCCTTCCCACAAATAATAGCCCATCCAATATTTTGCTTTTGGATCACCTAGATGCGTGTGGATTTCAAAACACTCCCACGCCTTATCACGTTCATTATTCTTGTGCGCAGCGATACCTTCTTCGAGCGGGATTATGGGTGTTAAGGATGGTGATATCGAAGCAATGTATAGGTCATCTATGTTTTCTTCGACAGTAACTCCGATGTCGGTAAATGGATTTTGAGAGTTTGAGGATTTTGTTATAAGTTCAATTTCGGATGAATTTTTTCCGTGTAGGTCAACTAACATTGTGAAGTCGCTGAATAAGTCTTTGATCACTGGACGTAATTTAGAATCTTGATTCCACGCTTAAGAAATTAGCAAAAAAAAAATAATAATAAAAATAAAAAAAATAGAATAAAATAAAATCCGTTATGATCATTACTGCGATGGAATTAAAAAAATTTTTTTTTTGCTAAGTAAGTTAACTTACATGCCACAATAATGTTATTAAATCCGTCTACTATTTCCTGAGGTCCGTCCGGGAAATCTAGCGTCTCTCTTTTCCCAGCTAGAACATGGTCGATGATATCCGGCATGTCCATGCCCAAATATGGAAATTTTTCAAAGGCCAACTCCCAAAGAAGCATGCCGAAACTACAGTTTAACCAATTCATGTTACCACAATGCAATCAATCATAAAATTATTTTAGCAGTTTCTCCCGGACTATGTGGATTACCTGAATACTTCACATTTAAACGTGTATGGCTCCTTTATGGGGTTATTTCCTCTTGGCATTTTTTCTGGAGCTAACCAGCAAACTATGGTGGCTAAATTTGGAATTCCATGACTCATTTGCGAGGTGTCGCGACTCAAGTAAAAGTTGGCAATCTTTGCCTCGTATCTGTCACCGCCAGTAATCTAATTTGTAATAACGTGCGTGTCCAGTGTAAAATTGGTTAAAGTTTTTTTTTTTTAAAAAAAAAAAAGAGGCGAACAGTTACTTTCACTCACCAAAATGTTTTCGCACCTTATGTCATGATGCAAGATCTCACATGCTTGCAAGAACACTAGGCCATTGCATATTTGATGCGCGATTTTAAGTTTTAAATGCCAGTCTAATTGTTTTTCTTCATATACTTTCTTCAAATTTCCATGTTCCGCCCAATCTAGGACCACGTTTTTATGACCATTAATTGTGCACACCCCGTGAAATTTGATTATATTATTTGAGGGATATAACCGTTTTAGGATAGCCAGTTGTCCTTTGATCTTTAAAGCCTCCCTTGAAGGATAATCCGGAATTATAATAGGTTTGCATGCAACGAGGATTTTTTGTCTCAACATTTTTTTACAAACATTTCCCCGTGTGACCGGAGGATAGGGATCCGTCAGATCGCCAGGCGGTATCTGCGGAGCATTCAATATTTCATCGACATTATTATTCATCTTTTTTATTTTTTTATGAATCTCCGGTATTTCATCAAATACTAGGTCGAGATTTATCTTATTTTCATTTTCTACCTGCCCTACGGCTTCCAGGAACTAAAGGTCACGGTGGGAAGTTACAAATAGATGCCTACAAGATGGTTATTCATAAATATGTAAAGTTAGCGAACGTACCTTTTGCATCGTTTTTACATCTTCTTCGAGATATCGTTCCTCCTTTTCTCGGCCTTCATCAGAAATCACGATGGTAAATTGCAAATATGTGCAACACCTTTCAAACTCCCTTATAAGGGACTTGCAACGGTCTTTAACTTCAATGGCACGCGTATACTTTCTATAACCTTTAAGTTGCGAGATATCGTTAATGAACTCTTTAATATGTTGTAATGTCTTGTTAAAGCGAATAAATGCGTTGAAATATTCTTGATTGTTGAATTTTTT